AAAAATGTAATAAGCTTTGCCCTGCACAGAGTGGATAGTGAAACAAATGGAATTGTCATAAATACATTATTTCATATTTATTACTTCCCCCTCCTCATTGCTTTATTATTGTAGCTCTAGTAATAAATAATAATGTAAGGATTCTGGATCAGCACCATGATGCCCATAGTATATACAGTATTCTGAAGAAGGTCTAAAATGTCACTGTGTGTGCGTGCATGTGTGTGTTTTATGTATATGGATTATTTTAAATGATTACTCATGATATAACATTGTCCAGACATGGCTGGTAAGGACATGAGGAGGAAACAGTAGGAGCTGTGTGAGGCTACTAAAGGCAGTGCTATAACATTTTTCTGTCATCATTTTATTATAGATTAAGTGCAAGAGTTGTTGGGTGTGGATAATTAAATTATAGTTTATTGCAATAGCAAGTTGTGCCTTATTCTCAGATAGACAGCAAGTGGAGAGTGATATATGAAATGATGGGATGGAAGGAAGAAGAGAAGCAAAGAGTGATTCACAGGCAGAGCCCAAATTATTTCTCACAGTTTTTTTGTTGCCTTATGGTTCCAAGCGCTGTCACCAATCTTTGCATTTTGTTATTATCTCATGACACTTGTTTAATCAGCTACCATCTCTCCTATGGACTTTTTAATGTCTACAGTCTCAGATCAACACAGCCCTGCCCTCCCATATTAGATTCTTGATGAATGTGTGTTGTTATTCAGCCTGGTTCAATGTGCCCCTTTTTAACTTTGAGCACCCGCCCCTTTAAACCTCTCTGCACAGCCCTGGTCTACTCTATATGTGTGACTACCTTTTGTTATTTGTTTTTAAGATGACCACATACAGAATGCATTTGTACACAAGTATAAAGAGAACCTCTTATGAAGTGTGATGCTGTAACAGCTGTAAGCAGGACAAGGCCAGATTAGCATCGGTTTCAATACAAGGAACCAGATTAGAAGGTTCTTACCTTGTTGAAAAAGAGCCAAATATGGCCAGGCGAGGTGCTGCAAAATAAATACAGAACGCATTATTACACAAGGTAAAGAAACTTTAACAACTAGAGAGAGTGCAAGAGCTAGAGGTGTATAAATGGGGCCTTTGCTCAAACTATGCAAAGAAGGATTTTTGCAAGCTATAGGAGCAGCACCATGTCTGCACACGAAAAACACTTTCTCTGCATGCCAAACTACACTGCAACATCTGTTCACTTAAAGTAATGTCAGCACCCAGCTGTTGACAATCCACCAGAAATAAAGTGTAACACTTAAATGTTATTATAACCTTATGGTTGGGAGGGGGAAATTTAGGAATAGAAATGTATTTGTTTTCTTGCTGTCTGTAACATATCAAATCAAAGCCGAAAAGTAGTACATTTCTGCCTCTTTCCAAAAAGTCTTTAACTTGTGCTTCTCAAGCTGTGGTGATCGCAAACTCGGGTGACAATCCTAAAATTGTAAAGTTTTTACACCAAGTTTGGTTCCATGATCAGCACTTCGAACCTGTCGTCTTGCACTGGGAGGCACCAGCTTTAATCCAGTATGGACGCAGTCGTTAGTAAACTAAAATAACAGCAGTCTGGGTGGTTTAAACACGACATTTGTCAAAGCCTGTTTTAATACCTGTTTAATGTGACTGCTGCACGCTAACATGGCTAGCCGTTATGCTAACACAGACAGAGCAAGGTCAGTGGCGCTTTCCTTAAAAGTTACAAACCGGCCGTCAAACGCAGCCAAGCCGCTGCGCAGTTCACTCCCCTGGGCTCATTTTTAAAATACTCAGAGCAGCATGAGTATAAAAAGACACCAACGACTACAGAAAAGCGTGTAGTTTCAGTCAAAACATCACTCACCTACCAACGCCGCCATCTTTGGAGGTTCTGGTTACGTCAAACGGGCTCTTGTCGTGTCAGAGCGCGAGCTGCTGAGGGCGCTGCTGCTACATATTCGAGCTGCGCACTTTAAACCAGCTCAAATCCTCAGAGACTCATAATCAAAAACCAAAAAAACAGACAAACAATAATCCCTAAAAGTACTAATAAAATACTGGGGGAACATTTTTGGACTTTGACTTTTAGAAATACTGAATTTTCGTGTCTAGATGTCTATATATTATTAAATAGACTGATCACAGTCTTTAGGTAGCTGTTTGGCGCCTCCAGTGGAGGCACATTGCTGCTAACAGACTTGAACGTCTCCAAGGGTGTTTTATGACTGTGGTTTCTCATGTATATGTGTATGTATGCATTTGTAAAAACCTCTGCGATGCTAAAGAGTATCCACAGATACTGTCACCGTGACACATTCAGACTGAGGTTAACTCACTGAGCCTCACACGTTTTCTGAAATGCCCCACATTTGATGTATGATTTTATCAGTTACATCCCACCCACAGTGGCTCCATGTCCCATCACTGGGGCCCACCCCACAGTTTGAGGTGCAACTTAAGTTTCTGTGCAGAGGAAACAAAAAGTAAACCGTTTGAGGGACATAATTTATGTCGTTAGTCAATAAAACATTTCCATTTTATTTAATTTATTTATTATTTTATCTATTTTTAGAGCAAAACCACACAACACATTTCTGTTTCATTACTGGCCAACTACACTGTACTTCAGAAATCGTGAAAAACACCAGTGGGGTTGTGGCTACTCTTACTTTGGAGATTATTAGAGTGCATTAACAGAGCTTTGACTTTCACTTACATGTCAGGTAATCGGAGCAGCAGCAGGAACAGCCTGGCTCTACTGGTTGAGCTGCATTCAGGAGCATGTTGTCATAACAAATACATTTATTAAATCAAATTTATCACACTCGAATAACGCTGTCATGTTACCAGGGCTGATTTATATCTGCTGCACTAACACATATGATCGTGTGTGTGCTTGATCATATTTAAAATATGTCCGTGTTGACTCTTTTTTTTATTACTTTACGATCACAGATGAAGTTGAACTTATTGTCTCCATTCATGTGAGTGTTGCACCATGAAAACAGAGCACAGCCACGCCAAAGGTTCGCACCAGCATGAGAGCACAATAACATCAAACACTGCAGGAGCGCCTGACTTATTATTGGAGCTGCTCAACGGCTGAAAGCAGCAGTCTGTGGTTTCAGTTTGATAGCAGAGAGCAAGAGGTCCTGCACGGTCCAACCTGTGTCTCTTAATCTCCTGATCCATCTCTGTAAACAGATTTAAATGTCTAAAAGTGTTTAAATGGTTAATTTTCTGTTCATTTGCTGACCTAGAGTGATGGTTTGTTTCCTCTTGGTTCCATCAGGAGGAGGATGGAGATGATGAATGGGAAGCTAATCCAACATCTTTATGTGCAGATTTAAAATAATTTATCTCAAATGAAATGAAAGCAGAACAGACGAGAAGCAGCGCAGCAAGCAGATCGTCGATTAATCTCCAATTTATTTTACTATGAGTGTGAAAAAAGAAGCTCAAACTTGAATTACTTTGCTTGCCAAAAAAATCCAGAACTTCAGCTGACTCTGAAAGCAGCTTACAGGAAGTTTGTAACAGATGAAGTTTATTCAAAGTTGTTTGGAAACATGTTGAGGAAATCGACCATATTTGATGTTATATACAGTCCTGTGCAAAAGTCTTGAGCTAATTTCTTGATATTTTGCTAGGAAAATGGGAAATAGGTGAAACATCTGCAAACATGCATGGAAATACAGAAGACAAAAACAGTTTGTACAATTCTAACAAGCTTAAGAAAGTTAATATTTGGTGTTGTCTCATTTCACTCTGTACTGTACCACTGTACATGGTTGATTTGACTTATTCTTCAACACAGTCCGAACTCTCAGGAAAACTTTCTTTCTTCTGGAATATTTCTCCAGACTTCTCAAAGCTCTTCTTTGGATGTCGACTTTCTTTCGTTCTGTTTTCTGATTCCATAGAGTTGACATACTTTGACATACCACTGCCTTTTCTTCCCGTTTCCCTTTCTTAAGAATGGTCCATCCTCCCACTGAGACCACGTCTGATGGTCAGTAGATGGACATGACTTCTTCTTTAGTCCCCCATTTGTCCTGTTTCTGCTCACCATGCCCAGTTTCTGGCTCGTGGCTCTTTGGGATTCACTTTGTTATGGCAAAAATGTTACTTTCTTTGGATTTTTTTGTGGATTCAACTAAAGAAACTGGAACAAATTATGAGTTATTGTAACATTCTGCTACTAAGATACAATTTCTTTGCCAAGTGTTACATTTAAATAATGCAGGTTCATCTGCTGAGTTAGGTGCCTTTTTATCACTTTGAAAAATGACCAGACAGTCTGGCTGCTTGGAAGCAAAATATTTTGAAGAAAAACAAAAGAGTGGTGGCTCAAGACGTTTGCACATTAATTTATAAGAAAGGAAATTAAAGGTCTTTTAATAAACAGTCATTTGTAAAGTAATTTCAGGCATTCACTCTGAAACGCATCAAAACGTCTGTGTTCCCCTCTCACCGTGCTCTGTGCTCAGATACCTTTAGAGCCGGTTATTTAGTCTGACGCTGACAAACCTGTGTGCTGGTTGTTTGTAACGTGCGTGAGTGTGGTTCAATCTTTACTGCTATTTGGAAAACTCAAATAAATCTCTGGATTTGACGGTGAAAAATATGCATTCAGATTCAGTGAATACCTCGGGTCAACACTGCTGTAATTATAGTAATCTGGATCCCTGGGTATTCTTCAGTTGAGTGTCAGTTGTCAGACGAAACGCACTGCGTCTCATCTCATTTTTGTTTTGGCCCCGTTTTGGTGCCACAAACCGAGCAAGTTCATCAGCAGCAGCGAGGACGCCAGCAGGGTGGAGATGGAGCACGTTATTATCACATAATGACAGTCCCAGCTCTGAAAACGCGCGCCGCCGTCTCTCCAGGAATAGACGCCCAGCCAAGGCAAAAGCAAAGAGCGGTCAATGGAAAACCAACAACGGCAAGACATTTTTTCATTTGGTCTTTTTTTGTTTGTTTGTTTTTTACAAAATGGCTTTTATTCTGTCTTCATCATGTACAAACTTTGTCAAATAATAATAAAGTCTGACAACTGCAGCTGCTTTGCTCGTGTTTCGGTCAAACCAAATCCAGCCATATATATGTATGTATATATAGCAGAGCTTTTAAGTATTTAGAGTTCAAAACATTAAATGTAGGCACAGGAATAGCTTAAAAGGACAAATGTTTTATGACTACAGCATTGTTCAAAGGCGTCCCCAGCCACTAGCAGGCGGAGCTCTTGCATTTCAGATAATAAGCATGAATCCACATAAAAGGTTGTGTATAGGGAGGAGCAAGAAAACACAAGTCAAGCCGTCACAGAGTTGGAGGTTGCAGTGGCAGCACGGGTAGCTGTGCTGAACTGCAGACCACAGGAATGGGCTATTTTTGGAAAGATCTCCTCCTCTCGGAGAAGGAAGCAGGCAGCTCGCCTCTTCACTGAGCGTCCAGGATGTCTGGTGTGGCACTCGGGCTCTGTGATGACCAGGAAGAGGGGGTGACCTGATTATAGAGGACGTCCTGAGAGCCAAAAAGTGGCTCTCTCAGATGGAGCATGTACACAAGGAACAGATTAAGAGCCACCATGGCGAGGAGTGGGAAGACGCTCAGGCCGGAGCCAAAGCCTCGCCAGGAGACGCACGTGTTCAGGGCGACCCAGTAAACAAGCCTGAGGAGCACGAAAAGAAAACATCAAACAGGAAATCAGACACTCACAGCTTCCCCACCAGCGTTACCTCCAATCGGCTAAGCTCAGTCTGCCAGACATGTTTAATAACTCCATATTTTTAAATAAAGTCTCCCAAAATACATATACGCCTTTCACTGCACTGCAATAAATGTTGCTACAATCGATTTGTAGGGTCATAAATTGACCTTTTTTTGGGAGTGGGTGCAATAACACAAACAGCTCTCAGCAGTTTATAGCAACTTTTGAAACCACAGTTTTACTGGGGGTTTTTGTACTCTCATTTTTTACTGGCCACAGCAGACAGCTGCTCAGCTTTAAGAACTAACTTAGTAATACCCGTCCAGCGTCAAACAGCAGTGCAGACGCAGTCAGCGACGGGCTGTTTAAATGAGCAGGTTAAGAGACAGATGCTGCATTTCACTCAGATCTTAGAGACCAAAGTAAAGGAGACAAAACTTCAGGAGGTCACAAATGAGGCCTAACTAATATCTAACAAGAGGGTTGATAAATCAGATGCACAAACCAACTTCACTTTGTAAAACTGGCAAATTTTGAGGCTCGCAGTCTGAGCTCTGCACCGCTCTGTGACGCAGAGCCAGAGCTTCTCTTTGGGTTTGTTAATGACAGTGGTTGTGTTCATTTTTAGCCCTGTCAGTGGCGTGGCTCTACAAACGGCAGTGTCAGCCTGTCAGTGCATCGCTTTGGACTAAAATAACTATCTCAACGCCATCGCCGTCATTTATGGTGCACAGAGGATAAACTCCGTGGCTTTTGGAGAAAACGTGTGTGGTTGTCACACTTTTGCGTGAACTACTGATCACTGAAACATCTTTCAATAACCTTTCCTTAAAGTGCTGGCTCAAAATGGGTTTCCTTTTTATTTTTGCAACTGTAACAAAAAGTCATTAACCTTTTGGTCTTGGTCCCCTTTACCTCTGTCTAGTTTCAACATGGGGTTGGCATTTTGCACTCTTCCTATTCAGTGTACTAACTCTGGACTTTTCTCAATTCTGGTCTGTGAAGCAGAAAAAAGTGTCACTAATTAGCACGTTTGCACACTGATGACAACACTGGGCTCACAGGAAAGCCTGGCTGCCAGCATGGCTAGAAGCTCTTAGGTTGTTGCAGGTGTAATATTCAATAAAGCCTGTCTTTATCGACTTTTCTGCCAAATAAAAAAATAAGATATTAAATATTAATCTGCATATATGGGTTTTAATTTATATCGTATTTGCCAAATCCACTATTTATTACTTAAAAATGTGTTAGTGGTGATGTAGAGGTCTCAAAAAGTCAAATATGATACACGTGGCGTTACAGGGTTAACTCTCCGTGGGGACATCACGGTCTCATCTTAAAATGTCAGAGTTCTTTGCTGGGAACAAAGTGATCTGTGTGTAACAGTGTGGAGTTATTCTAGACCTGACTTTTAGGCGGATTTATTGGTCCTTATTTGTGTAGCACTCCGGCTACGCAGATAGAAGGATTATGGAAATTCAGCTGACGTGGAGGCTGCTGAGACGTTTATGTAAAGTCCTCCAACAAGCCAGCAGCTAGCAGGCCCATCCACAGTGGGTAATTCAAATGGCTAGAATGGGGAAGAGAGTGACCACAGAAGGGGAAGAAAGGAAAAACAAATCGTGCATCCGGTAAGGTCGGACCAACCCCATTGGCTCACAGGAGCTTTCCACCTTTCTCGCTTTTGAGCCTCACCTTCCAAAGATGAACATTATGACCAGGATAGGCACCAACTTCAGCTGGTCTTGAGGCAGTAACGCAGCCATTACAACAAGGTTCAGGACATAGAGGAGTAACTGCTCCAGGGATGTGGTGACGAAAAGCTGCTGAACCGCACCTCTTCTGGGAAACGACTCCTGCAGATCGAAGGAGCCGTTGCAGAACTGGCAGGCTGCACCCATGAGCATCGCTGCAAGGGATAAAGGAGCAATAAGTCAGTTAGCATCTTGAATCTGGGCCATCTTTCCGCAAACAGCGCGCTCATCCTGACAGCACACTTTGTTTTTGCAATTCCATCATTTGAATGTGAAGCAAACGCCAGCAGACTGGCCCACATGCAAATGCTCCTCACAGCTACCAGCCTGACCTTTTTTTTTACCACCTGCCCTCTTATTCCGAGTCACTCTCGGTTGGGAAGTGATTAAAATGTTCTCGAACAATTAGGCCACAGCCTGGGAGATGAAGGACACAGCCAGCCTCTTATTGTAGTTTCCATTTAAAGCTATGTGAAGGAGAAGGAAATTATGCTTCTCCCCAGAGGCCTGGGAGACGTCTGCTGCTACTGAGGCTGAAAGCGCATGAAATTAAAGAGGACAGGAGACACTGAAGCATTCCAAGACAAAGCAGCCAGACAAACCAAATCCTTTCTTAATCATTATCTTTCATTCAAGGCTCTCACATGGCTGTTTTTGAATGTCAGCGTGCAGGTGTGTGTGTTTGTGAGACGCATACCGAGCAGGATGGGGACAGCGGCCACCACACAGCAGCACAAGGTGAAAACGATGCGGCTGGTTACGTCAGGGAAGTCAGGGGGTTTGATGGGCACGTAGAAATAGAGTGCATAGAGGATCCCGGACGCACACAGAAGCGAGGCCAGCACCGAGAAGAAAGCGGGGACTCGGCTGCTCTGACAGCATGTGCACTGGCAGCAGCGGCATTGCCCCCGATCCGAAGCCTCCCGCGCAGCCACGCAAGTCTCTCCCCGGCCCTCGGAGCTCCACACAGCCAGCTCCACGCTCTCCGGCGGCGGCCCTATCAGAGGCCGACCCTCGTCCACAGTGCAGTCCAGATTGGTGGATTCTGGACTCCATCTCGGTGCGTCTGTGCCGTTGGGAATGTCTCCCTGAGAGGCCGGGGTTGGAGGGCCGACGCAGTTTTCCGTGGCGGCGTCCAAATTGCGCGCCGTGATGATAGGACTGGAAAGAGTTTGATCCAGCTCCCCCTCCTCCCCACGATGCGCTCGAGGCTCTTGTGGGAGACTGACGCCAGACTGCTGGTGGCAAGGAGCAGAGCCTGTTCGAATCAGAGCACATTTAAAAAAAAAAAACATCAAAAGCAATCAGCTGCAGACTTACTCCAATCAATCATTCACTTTCTTACTTTCAAAATACAAAGCAGAGTCGAAATACTCATATAAACTGTTCTTACAAGATTAGCAATTAGTGGCACCTGTAGTTTACGTGGTTGAACTGCGGTGCTTACACACTAATTACATTTACTATAAGGCTGGATTTCTGCAGGCTGCTGGCCTGCTCATAAATGACTGTTCATAGTTTAGTATTCGAAGCATGTAAACAGTAGGTAATATTAGCCTAATACACAGTGTCCTTAACAGGCTGGCTTTGTGTACACATTTGTGAAATCTATATTTGAAAGGTTTGTTATTATGTTTTATTTATTTCTCTAGTCATTTCAATGCTACTGAAAATATGTGTGGAAAAAAAGATCTATCAAAACATTTAAATGAACCAATAAAGAGTCTAATAATTGCTTTGAACTTTAATTCATCTTTGGTTGAGCTGTAGTAATGATATATGCATTCACGGGCCATTTTATTAGGTCAATCACATGGCAGCAGCTCAGCGTGAAGACATGATCAAAACCACCTGCTGAGGTTCAAACTGAACACTAGGATGAAGAAAAGGTGATTTAAGTGACTTTGCATGTGGCAGGATCGTCGGTGTCAGACAGGCTGATCTGAATATTTCAGAAACTGCTCATCTGCTGGGATTTTCTTGCACAACACAATGGTTTGACGAAGGGAAGCAATCCAGTGAGCAGCAGCACTCTGGATGGAAATGCCTTGTTGATGTCAGAGGTGACCTTTTAGAGCGCTCCGAGCTGATAGATAATCAGTTCACTGCACTCAAACGGCCTCCAGAGTCACCAGATCTCAATCCAATAGAGCACGGGAAATTGATGTCATGGATATGCAGCCAACAAATCTCAATCAAACTTCAGCACCTTGTTAAATCAATGCCCTAAAAGAACCAGAAGACAAAAAAGGGCCCCAACCTGGTACTAGCAAGGTGTCCCTAATGAACTGGCCTGTCTGACACCGGAGCCAAAGAGATCTGAAGGTCCAGATCCAGGAAGGAGGAGAAGGAGAGCCTGGACGGGTCGATGTGAGTGTATTTGCATTACTGTCAAATAATCTAATGAAAAGGACCAAAACAACCAACAACCAGTGAAAGGAATTAAATTTTCTGTATACTAAAAGTGTGACATAGTTTAACCAAAGGGTTGTGTTTTAATACACAGAAAATAGTCCTGTACAGATGCTTCTTTAAAAATCTATCTAAAGTGTAGACGGTCGCACCAACTCGCTGTTGGTTTTGGTCTTTAAATGGGATTTGTTTATAAAAAGTAAAGTCGTACATCATGAGGTGCATCCCGACTGCTACAAAAACCACGTGTCATCTTTAATTTTCATTACATTTCATTCACTTCTAATTAAGCATCTGACGGGTGCGATATGCAGAAGAGAGCCCAAAGACCAACAGAAGCCCTCAGACACAAATTAAAGCTCTAGAAAAAGGGTTTGGACCGAAACGTAAAAACATCCAGACCGCCGCTGCTGCAAGGACACAAAACAGCACACATTAAACACCAGAAGCTGTTGAGAAGGGTTACAAACATCTGGACACTTCACATTACAGATGGGAGTCACCCACCAACACCAACTTTAACTGTTTCCCTCACAGCTTGGACTTGGTTCTCTCACACAAATATTAAATCTAACTATATGAATGTTTGTCTTGTTTACAAAAAAAAAGCTCCATTTCCTAAAACACAACTCAAGTTTTTATGATATTTTACCCAGAATTCAAAGCTGATTTTTCCAAAATCTGACTAAAGTCAAGGATTTTAAAAGTTTTTTCTCTTCTGGAAAATGACTTAACTTGTTCTTTCTTAATGTTTTTGTGATATAATTGCTCTTAGCTTATTCCATTCAACACAAACAATGCTTTTTTTCCTCTGCAGACTCTGTCCTAACTCTATTTGGATCCAGCCTGGACTCAATCCGACTTTAGCTTTTGCTAATTTGCTCTGGCCTCCCTTCAAATCCTACAGCTCCGACGAGGAGACAGTAAAAAGCAGCGGCAATAACTCACTCCTTGGCTGATCCGTCGCTGGTGGCGGTTCCAGCGAGCGCTGGGAGCCGGAGACAGAGTGGGAGGACGAGTGCAGCTCCTCCACCGACGACTCGGGGCTGTCTGACACCGGAGCCAAAGAGATCTGAGTGTCCAGATCCAGGAAGGGGGAGAAGGAGAGCCTGGCCGGGTCGATGTCCTGGAGCTGGTTGATGATATCGCTGATGGATTCCTTCATGCTGTCGAGCTCCTTTGCATTCTGCCGGTTAGTGGCCTGAAGCCCCGAGGTGCTCATAGTCACAGAGCCTGAGAGGAGCAGGAAGAGGTCCAGGTGGAAATCAGGCCAAGATCAGTTTAAAACATCAGACTGCGGAAAAAGACAAGAGGGAGAAAATCACCTTAATTCCCCAAAGTGTCAGAAAAGCTTGATTAATACACACGTCTGAAAAAATATCCCCGAGAAAACACAGTGATTCATCTTTATTTTCCCTTAAATATCGTCAGTAATCCGCTTTCTTTCAAGCCTCTGCTGTCTTTGCGCTTTTCTTCTACCTGTAAGGCCCAATTTATATCCTGCTTCAGGAATCTGTTTGTCTTGACCAGAACAGCCCTGACCTCAGGGGAAAGGTCAGCGCTGAGGGAGACGCTAACACTCAAAAACTTCACTGGGACTTTATGCGGGCTTTTTTGGGGGGGAGGATAGAGGAAATTATGGGTTTATGCACATGGTTATACAATAATCATCACTGACAGGATGTCAAAGTTTATCTTCCCCTGTTTCTGTTGGGAACACTTTCTCATCAGGTTTGAATCCCTGTCAGTAGAGAAACTCAACAAATCAGCACACGAATGCGTCACACTCTCGTGCACACCGAAGCACGTCACAATAATCACAGACTCCAGCTTTATGATCTACAGCGGGAAGTCCAGAAGGTGGCTGGCGTGCACCGTGCTGTTGCCCTGCATCCTTTAAACGTATCACACATGAGACTGTGTGAATCTGCAGGTTTCAACACTTTGGAGGGAGCTTATTGTTAGTTAAAATCTTCCTTTTGGCTCGTATTTCGCAGCAGGATGACTCAAATATCTATGTAGTAAAATGGAAAGCACTGCAGAGGTGTAATAAATATGCTTTGACCGTTTTCACCTAAAAGGAGCAAATCGATATTCTGGGAGATAAGAAGTCCAAAACCATGAAGCTACAGCAAACAGCTGACCTGCCGAGCAAAACTGAAACAGGGAGAAATGTTAAATGTGTATTTACTCACATACTGATTAAACAAATGAGACATAATGTGTTTATTAACAAGATTTAAAGGCACTGGAAGTATTCACATAACGTCCCCCCTGTTTCTAATCTTTCTTGAGCAAAGTGCTCCGACTGCTCAGTGTGTCACCATCAGGGATCTCTAAAGTTATATTTTGAAGTGTGGATGTCACTACACGTCCCTTCAGTACTGATAATCAGTTCTCGGCATCTTGTGAAAAGTATTTCCTGTCCTGGCAGCTTTGACCAAAGTTTTAGAAGCTACAAATTTTAAAAACACATATTTCAAATCCAAAAAACACAGGATTATAACACTGATGAGATTTCAATTCAGAAACTCGTGGATTCATGGAAAATCTTGTGTTACATTGCTACTGTGAGGTCAGACTTTAGCTTTCTTCTAAGAGAACTCTGGAGGATGAAACAGGGCAACGTTTCACCTGTTCCCATCTCGTGATGTGAAACTGAACCAGAGATGTTCAAGTTAGTTAAAAAGGTCTAAAAAAGCACAGAAGCAGCTTACTGGAACATCTCCTTTATGGCTCTTCATGGACTACTTCAACTCCACTATTGATATCACAAATAATCCTAAGCAGTTATTGTAACACTGTACCTTTTCCTGTATTACAACAGTAAACACAATCTATAAATACATATTCATTTATGACTGTTTTCTACACATATGCATACACACGGACGAATGTTTCCAGCACTTATGAACTCTAAAGCACATAAAATGCACTCACTGGACAAAAGCGTCTGCCAGGTGTGCGTAAAATAACATCAGTCACGCGCCTTTGTCTTCAAAGGCTTCATTAACATCTGCAGATTGAATCTGGAGCATTTTTCTCTGGGTTTTCTTGGCGCACAACCAACTGTGGCGCAGAGCGGGCGCGCACGGCGACGTTTCTCCAAACAAGCGAGGACCTTACCATGTATAGAGATCAATTAGGAGCCACGGGGCTTGAAGGTCTGGAGGAATAAATGTCGGTGGCGGTTATCGGAGCTGGCCTGGATGTGGCGCGTAGGGGGCGGAGAGGGGTATGTGGCTTTAAAACCCGCTGAAAAATAACTTTCCCTTCAGTGTTGAGCCACTCTCTGAAAACAAAAACTTTATACGATGCCTCCTCCACGAAGCTTCTCGGGCTCAGTGTAGAAGCTGCAGGAAACACCTCATTTATTGATAGATAAATAAATCAAATGAGGGGAAAACGCACGCGTGAAAGCTACGCGTAAAGGACGGGTCATTCACAAATCACGAATCGTGTATTTTGTGGCATCCAGCAGCAATTAAAGCGATTCATTTCATTTCACAGACAAACCTGCCTCACTTTGGCGAAACGAAATGCCCAAATGTGCTGATGAGGGGAACAAGAAGCGTTACTCTTATAAATGAACTTACTTTAGTCGGAGGTTGCGGAGTATTTGGGTGAGTTTACTCTCCTCGCAGTTTAAAAAAAACCCTCCGTCCTCGTCTGCCTTTCTTCCCTCCCCCTCCGTTTGCTTTTTGTCTTCCAGGATCCCGAACTTCTGAATCAAATTTCAGGACGGACAAAATACTAGGCTTTTTCCTCCGCCCACACAAGTTTTTTTCCCTTCCTGGGTACCATGTCAAACACCATATGGAGCAAATAAAGGCAGAGGAGCGGCAGCAGCAGCAGGAGGAGGAGGAGGCACTTACTTTTAGTTTACCTTCAAATTCAACATGAACAATCACATCCATCACGAACACGAGTGCATCTAAACAGGGCAGTAAATATTTACAATGAAACCAAACCTCGGCGCGCCTCTGATATTCATACACAGGATGAGCGCGTGAACTCCAAGTATATTAATGCTCACTCAGACAGCATCAGCTACTACAGACAACCCGTTTATAGAAAGTCTTTTCACTCAATAATAAGTGATGAACTTTTCAAAATTAAGGTTATAGAGACGTCATTGTGTTTTTGCTGATTTTGTTGGGCTTTTCATTATCAGTCACTCCAACTTCCAACAGTCCACTGATAACTCCTCGGTGGCCTCGGGCGCGACGAACAGACGCCAAACATTTTCGGATTGTGTGTAACTTTACTGCGCATGCCCCATTTTCTCTAAACATCTGATTCCTGGAATTTCTCACCAAATAGATAAAGAAAAGCGTTTAACATCTTTGCCCACAAACAATACATAAAAGCCACTGGTGAATGAAGTCTGTGACTCACACATGGATCCTGGGATGCTTAATGTGCTGTCAGTGAATATCAGATTACCAATGGTAATAAAGGAGTAATCTAGGAAAGGTGTGCGCATGCGTTACCATCTTTCCACTTGCCCTTGTGATACTTCCATTTCCTCCTTAACAGGAAGTGATGAGCAGGGTTTGCGCATTAAGTTATTGTGAATAGAAACAAGTTTAAAGCTCTGCTGCAGCGGTGCAGATGTTCAAAGGGTTACAGATACCTGCAGAGGCAGTGCAGAGAGCAGCTGAGATTTTTGAAAATCTATTTATTTCATGCCTGAGAAACAGACCTTTTGAAAATCCCATTACAGGATGTTTCCTTAGAGGAAATTCTCACATCGCTGCTTTTCGCTATGTTGAGGAGCGTTTCCTGGAAACATAAGACTTTCACCCTTGAAAAATAGGGAGACCTGAACGTGGAATGATTGGAATTCAATTTCCATTCAATCACCTCAACTTTATTAATATTTCTTTTTGTCCGACTCTCTTTTAGTTCAGCCTCCTTGAGCCCATGTGTTCTCCAAACATGTAGCTTCCTCCTCTTCCTCACAGTCGTCTGTAGGCTCAATGAAAAATTTCAACAACTGAAGATAAGGGGATCATATAAAATAACATAATCTAAATATGAAAATCAAATGACACCTAGGCACGAATGCTTTATTTTCCCCAGTTATTATCAGGGATATTTTATTGTATAAGAAAACATTTTCAAATATACAGATAACAGCTGTAGATTTGCAATATAGTTAATAAATAAAAAAAAAAAATCAGGACTATAAACAACATATTTTGGATTCTGAGCTGTAAATATATATATACACAGATATGAGTTTATTGCTTGTGTAATCTGTTGAGCGACCAGCAGCATGTCTGAAACACCGCTCTGCTGTCATTTCAAGCCAACGGGAGGACGGGGGAGGGCGCACAGGTCCACCACGAACCAACAGTCTGCAGGTTACCTAGGTCCAACTGGCTTCTGCCTTTTCGCCAAAGCAAACATGGGCTGTGAAAGTCACATTAAGCAGTCAAAGTGGGGGGTTTGTCAGTCCTCTGACAGCAGCCTGTGGACGTGATCCTTCCTCTTCTTCAGCACCTCCCGAAAATCCTCCTGAAAAAACACCAGCGAGAGATATTCAGATATTCAGAGTCAATCATGAAACCGGGAGAGGAAAGACATCAGGCAGATGCTTCTGCAGATAACCAGCTGTTTCACTCACAGCTCACTGACCGGGGAATCAGCAACAACCCTAAAAGAAAAGGAAAATCCATTTTCTCTATGACAATCTGAGTCTGTAGCACTTAGCCTACCCGGCATGCCCAGAATATCTTTTCACTATCTGTCCTCACCAAACCACAAGCACGGTGACGCTGAGCAGCTACACGACAAGGTTATCAACTCAGCGAGCCCGCCCGGGCCTCCCCGCTCCAGCCATCAGCATGTTCACATAAAACAGGACGCGAGCGCAGCATGCGACTCATCCCAAACATGGACAGGTTTATGCAGCAAAGTTTTCAAACAAGGGGCCAAATTATAACGCTGACAATTAAAAAAACTAAACCCAGAATGGATCCGCCCAATATTACAACATGTATCCCACCATATTCACGTGTCCAGTCTGTGAGGCACAAATGAATGCGAAGCATAAATGAGACTTCTACTAGGGCTAAGTAGAAATGTGCTGTAAGAGAACCACACCAGTTACCGTGCATTCTTACAGCCTCAACTATTAATATAAATCAATCATTGTATTAAATGGTGAAGATTTTCTAGTTTATCGAATGCGAGCATGTGAGAACTCTTTGTTGTACATGATAGATTAATAGTTTATGACCATTATTAACTGCAGCTACATAACAGACAGAAAAAACACACTAGCATGTTTGAATCTCGTGAGATTAAAGACAGACAAACGCTTGCATCTTATCACAGGCACCATCACACATAGACACGATTAAACATTTGTTTAACAAAACCGATGCAAATGAGCTCTGAGTCGATTAAGTGTCCGCCTGCCACACATCTAAACGTCTGTATAGATCGCAGGAAGCAGGCTCACGGACGAGAGGCATTCACTAAAGCTGACGATCAAAGCTACTTATCTGAATTTTATATTCATTTTAAAATCTTTTTTGTTAACTGTAACTCACGTAACAAGGTGAGTGGCCACTTGCCGGCAGCCGAAACAACGCTAGCATACAGTTCGACTTGATGCGGACCTTAAAGCTCAATCCTTTAATTTGGTTGGCGCTTGTGTCCAGCTGACTACTGTAACTCACACTTTTACTCTCAAAGATCTGCTCTCATTCTCTCATAATCTCTAAAGTAAACGTGAGGCACTGATAAATGCCATCTGTATGGGTTTGCCGTCCGGTGCAGAGCAGCACCTGCAGAGCAGCGGGGTTTTTCTCTGAAAACAGCCGCCTGCCGGGACCAAAAACAATGATGCTGGTGCAGTGAGAGTGGAAGCGGTGAAGGAGGAAGCACATGTTGTTGCCTCTGAATCCATTTTAAACAAGCGCACAGTAAACACAGAAGATGTAAGCAGACTTACAGCTGCAGACAGTTTCTCCATGTAGGGGATGAGCTTCTGCAACTCTCTGTCATCAGACTCCCCAGACCAGCTCTTGATGGGAATCGTGTTCAACAACTACAAAAAACAAACAAACATGTTATTAAAAGTTAGTAACAGCAACAAAGTGCTGACAGAGCAAAACAAAGTAATTAATTAAGGATGTGTGCGAATAGTCAACAAGATGAATAATCGCCACTACTGTCAGTCGATGCCAGACGTAGTCGTTTAGTCTAATTATTAACATTTTAATTGATGCCCAGTTACCATAAGTTGTTGTGCCATAAATGTTATGCAGCCATCTTCCACCAGATGGAGCTAAAGTCCCAGTATCCAAGCCTGGTCTCATTCTTTATACTGTTACTGTTAGCTCGAAGAATGAGATAGTGGATACAATCGGTGCAATGAGCTTTCTCCGAAGGGTGGACGGGTTAGCACAGGGTGAGAAGTTCAGTCATTCAAGTGGGGCTCAGAGAAAATCAAAGAACACAGCCTTTAAACTTACATTATATGGATATGTGTGGGGTGCATTATCCAGAACCACCGTCTTCTTCAGATCCCTCCCGAGGATGCTGAGATCTTTGATGTAGTGGCCAAGAACACAGGCACAGTCGTCCTGATACAGCCGGTGTCTACCAGAGAAATCACAAGTGAAACTCACATTTACCGTCCTCATTGTATGGCACGGGCAGAATGTTAAAGGGAACATTTGAAGCAGGCCATGTCGAATTTCTGAGCACGCAACACAGCAGCAGTGCGAATCTGCACGTCTCTGCACTCAAGCACCGAGTTTACAAAACACAAGTGGAAGCAGCTCATACCGAAACAGCTTTCTCTGCGGGTCCAGGATCTCCAGGATCTTCTCGGCATATTCCTTCTTCGCACACGTGTAAACGAACAGCTGGAACAGAGCACGCACAGCAGTTGGTACAATTCCACACTTTTAACTGCTCCACGTTAAAGCAGTGACAGAAAAATAATTTGTTTAACGTGTGAATGAGGCTCAAAATAACCAAACTATTTGCTAATCTACACACTGACACACACCTCGTAGATTTTTGCCATGGCCTGCAGGAACTCCTTCACATGTGGTCGCAGCACCATGTATACCTGTTGAGAACAGGGGAAGAATAAGTGGTCAAGTCAGTAACCTCAGATCTGCTCTGCTGACTGAAGCTCATCTTTTAACTCTGTTCCCCATCAAGACATCTGACAACCTTCGAGGTACCCTTTATGACGAGCTTTGACACCTTGGTATATACACACCAATAAAAACGGTTTGACCACCTCTAGAATGGTTTGTCTGCATCAACAGAGGCCACCCTCACCAACTGCTGATGCACACTCAGTCATTTTGTTCTATAAGCCTGAGAAATGACAGAAACCACTCAGTTCATAAAAGAGCTTTGAGGGTTACACGTAGTAGGCTTTAAGGGGTAAAGAGTTAAGTGCAGTTGTAGAGTCAGCTCCTGGACTCACAGCATCCCAGATACCAAAATTTGTAGTTTCAGTAAAGATCCAACTGCCTGGTCTAGTCAGATGATTAAGGTTAGGATCATAACTTTTGGCAATTAACTCAAAACCACCAAACATTTCAACTAACTGCACAGCGTTGTGAAATGTGTTGTCTCAGACGCCCTTGGCTCCTACGTTATCTGCGCCCCACTGTGTGCTTATTAAAACCCATTTCACCCTCACCTTTAAACCTCTGCCAGTGTTATGTTCGTGTAATGACAGCTGTGTAGCCTGCCTTGGAATGACATATCATTATTTATAACTAGGGTGACTTCACTGACCCTCCGCAGCATATCATCTTCAGATCCCAGCTAGATAACAAGCATACAGACAATTTTTAAGTCTGCTCAACCTCGTGAATCCTTTTATCCACAAAGATGCCTTGATGCTGCACTCGATTACAACACTTTGCAGAATAATTTCTTTGTGGGAACAGAAAGAATTTAGACCATTTTAGCCCTCGATGGAAGCTCCCCAGTTGCTCACAAAACAGAAGAGAGGTCAAAGAAATCAAATGCATATTTCAAAATTCATAAAAATGTGTGTGTGTGTGTGTGTGTGTGTGTGTGTGTGTCTCTTTTCAGTTTTCCAAAGTGGGTTTTTGCACTTCATCAACTGCAGTTTTTAATTTTTAGAGTGAGTGAAAAATGGTTTCACAGATGCTTGCATGCCACACTTTCTACTAGTTTCCTAATTCATGCATCTTGTACGTAAATGAGCCACGAAGGAAGTATGAAATAGAGAAGTGCACAATTTCCAAATACAGAAACCCAACCGCATCAAGTTATTAAAAACAAAATCCAATAGGTTATGTGACTTTCAACTGAAATATGCATTTCCTTTTGTTTTTAACAACGTTAGGAAAGATAACATAATGTAGAGGTCCCCTGAAAATATTGGCTGTTTGACGATCTGCTGGTATCAGCATTTATAAAAGCAGATTAAAGAGTAAAGACACGAGAAATTATCCAGGACTTGTGACAATGCAGTTAAAAAAATCAATATTTTTTTCATTATTGCCACATCATGTTAATAAGGACTCCAAATGTTAGGGAAGCTTCTGTTTCATGCCTCTGAAAGAAAAATAAACCTTCTGATATATCAGTAACATCATCACCAGCTCTGTGATATAATGCACCAACATGTGAGGCACATGTTAAGTTCTCAACAGTGAATCAAAATGAAAGATCTTGTTTGTTGTTAAATAAGTTGCTGTGGTAAACATCTGGTCTGCAGAAGAGAGTACCACAGAGGGTTGTGAAGAGTGGCTTTCAGTGAGTGGTCACCTTGTACTGATGGTCCTGGAAAGCTGCATGGAAGGTGTACTCTGCGTCTTCGATCACATTCAGAGAGCTCAACATCAGGGTCTCCTCCTGGAAATAAACACGACCACATGCCTCAGATTACTTAATATTTTAAATATATAACTGACTGCTTTCACAAGGGAGCAAGGTGAAAGTGTCCAGTTTATGATTTTAACCATGTTAAAGCCACAGAAAGTGAATCTTTAACAATAAAATGTAGACCATACTCTATTCTTGCTAAATACAACATCCAAAAGGAATTGCAGATACTTAAAAATCAACTAGAAAATGCATTTTCTGAAGAAATTGCTGTGTGAATGCTGATAGCTGAATGTTTTGAGCTGAAATGAAATAATTGCTTCACTTTATTGGTACAATAAGGTCAAAGACATTATGCTCAAAACTGGTGGTAAAATATCATAGGTTGATCCCACAGTGTTCTATTGGCAGAATGAACAATCTGAGATTACAGGAGTGCTTGCATGTCACGTTGATGATTTCCTTTGGGCTGGTTCAAGTCACTTTGCAACTAATCATTCCTGTACTGAAATCTACCTTAATTGTGGGCCGTGAAGAACATGACAGTTTTTTTTTTTATGTTGGTATGGACATTTGTACAGTTAATGATGTAATAGAGGTGCATATTGTGCATATTACAACCTACAACCTGTTCAGTTACAAGCATCCCTATACAGAGGGATGCTTCCTTAAGTGAAACAGAACGGGAGCAACTCGGGTCAAAAATAGGACAGATTTTGTGGGTTGCCAAACAAACGAGACCAGATGTTACGTTTGACACATGCAGCCTGGGATCTAATATCAAAGGTGCAATTGTGCAGTCCATTCATGAAGTGAACAAAGTTATCCGTAAACTTAAAGTAGAGAAAGTGACTCTTAAGTTTCAACACTTGGGTAACAGTGAGGATTTGGCATTGGTTGTTTTCAGTGACGCTTCATTTGGCAACCTTCCCGCTGGCGGTACTCAAGGAGGGGCATTAATCATCCTTATGGGTAAAGGAGGAAAGTTTTGTCCTTTCTTTTGGCAGTCTAAAAAATAAAAAAATATCAGACGTGTGGTCAGAAGTACACTGGCAGGAGAAACTCTTGCCATGTCAGATGGAATAGACCATAGGTGTCAAACTCTGGCCCGAAGCCATACCAAATTACTATTAGAGCTGGCCTACTGGTATTATACAGCTAATATATATATAGTTTAGTATTAAGTATTATTCTGTAAAGTTATTTATTTCATATTCTGTATAGTTTTTCATATTTATATCCTGTTCATATCCTGTACATAGCTTGTACTCACTACAGCCTGTACATACTTATAATTATAGAATATTCACAACATACTTCATACCGTGTACATTATAACATACCATAATAGACCCATTTCTGTAATATACTCACATATCTATATTATTGCTAATATATATTGTAATATATCTATATCACTAAAGCACTTCTGGATGGATGCAAACTGCATTTCGTTGCCCTGTACCTGTGCATGTGCAATGACAATAAAGTTGAATTCTATTCTATTCTAAGCTTTGCTTGTTCCATATTCAGTTTTTCAGCAAAATGTGTTTGAGTCCATAAGAAAAGATTCATTCTTATATCTGGAGGAATAAATGTATTTCAATAAATATTAACGTTAGCCCGCGACTTTGTTCCAGTTTTGAATTTTGGCCCACTGTGTATTTGAGTTTGACACCCCTGGAATAGACAGTGCTGTCTTCCTGGCAACACTTTTTTCTGAGCTTAAAACTGGTAACACTGGTCTGAATGCTCTTCTGTTGATCTGTGTGCCTGACAATCATTCCTTGTTTGATGCACTCAAGTCCACTAAGCAGCTTACAGAAAAGAGACTGGGGCTGGAAATGAGCAGCATTAAAGAGCTCATACAATCCATTAAAATCAGACAGATTGGTTGGTCAGATTTCAAATCCCAACTTGCTGATTGTCTGAAAAAAAGGGAGTTTTATCCAGAACCCTTCTAAAAGCACTAGATGAAGGACTCTGGATACTGTGATCCTTTGTTTACGAAGTTTTCTTTGCATTAAAATGCACTCTTGTTTATTGTGTGCAGTGATAGTATGCTTTAAGCAAAGCAAAGCACATTGAAATGTTTCCTGAATGTTCTATAATGTTGACAACGTTTTTTTGTTTTGTTTACATATATATGTATACAAATGTTTAAAAGGGATATTTATACTTTTATTTTTAAAAAAGAAAGAGGGAGATTGTTAACTTGTCATTTTCTGTTATATCGCGAGAGTACTGTTGCCTGCGGTGGGTTGTTCTTATTGTGGGTGAGCGGAAAAACAAGACGTAAGGAATAAAGTGCTTGAAGTGAGACTACGACGTTGTGTATTTTGACTTTACAATATTCTTTTATTCACCATATCACTGAAATGTGGGAGAATCCACTGCAGAAAGATCAATGCTTTAAGTTTTAATGATCCAGTCAGAAAAGATGATTCTAAAAGTCATCAACTGACTCCAAAAGCCCAGATCTGAACCACCTGTCTGCTGAAAACAAATGCACCAATCAAACAGAAGCCTGAATTTCATGGGCCAATCGGAATGCTTGATCTAGTTGTCCAGGACTAACTACTGACACACTATTACTCTGTGGCAAAACCCTGTCAAATCTGCCTCGGTGCACCTGTTATACAAATGCTTCTAAATCCAAGACCCTAACTCCCATCAAAATAATTTTCAAATGGTGACGATCCCGAGGACCTGTTCTATACAACAGTGTGTTCTTCATGTTCCTGCTGTCAAAACTTTGGCCGCAGGAGCAATTTAAAAAGTGGGGTCTTTCCTGCTGTTGAGACAAACTCCTGTCTGAAAATATAATGTATTTCTATGGGTCGGTTAGAGGATTATCCCTCCACTTGGATCCACACAGTTTAAAAAC